TTGGTAATCATTCTCCAGAGTGGCAAAACATTGTCTAAAGAAAGCAGGGGTTTTATATTTTAACTCTTCTAGTGTGCACATTGCACAGTACTTCTGACTGTAACATCACTAGATTTTCAGATCTTTAAATGTTTGTGGGTTTGAGGGCTTTTTGGTTTTTTTTAAAGGCTAAAAATTGAGATTTTGTAAGGTTGCTAGGGCTGCCAGGTCATAGTAATAAACTTGTAGACTGCTGTAATAAACTGCTGACTGCTGCTTTGGGTGTGTAACGTTGGCACAGTTGATTTTGATAGCTGTTGTTTTCAGCTAGTGAGTGTAGTTTCAGCTAGTGCTCGGTTTTAGCTAGTGAATTTGAGAGCTGAAAGCCTTATTTATGCTCCAGTAATGCTCCTGCAGTAGTGCCTTTCAAAGTATACAGTGTGTATACTGTCATGTATCTATTTGTGTAGCAATCTTTGTATTTGAACTGAAAAGGGGATTGCTAACAAAAAATGTAATAGACACCTCTTTTGTGTTTTCTACAAGTTGGCAATTATTCTGTTTTGTGTAACTGGCTACAAGGTGTGTTGCTCTCACACATATGTATCTTCAGCAAAGCCTTGTTACCCTCCAGCTTGTGATTTGTTACTGAATCTTTACTGATTTTTTTTTGGACATACGTTAGACATAACAGTGGCTGAAGAACACAATTTGTTGCTGCAGCTCCAGCTAGCAATCTCCAGGCTGCGGGGTGGTGAAAGTTACAGTCTCTGTGTTACTTGTAGTGTGTAGGCCTGAACTCGTGCTTTATGCTTGTAGGCATTACTGAGAGGGGTGCGATTCACTGCAGACTGAAAGGCAGTTTGTAAAGACTGTAGTTCATACTTTCAAGGTGCTGCAAAGCCCGGAATATGTCTGGAAGAAGCATTTTGGAGAAGAGTGTACTTCTTGGTAGTGAACTACAGGATGGGAACAGAGTGGCTGGAGAGCAGAAAGGGATCTGAGAGTTTGAATTGACAAGAAACTGAACATGAGCCAGCAGTGTGCCCAGGTGGCCAAGAAGGCCAATGGCATCCTGGCCTGGATCAGGAACAGTGTGGCCAGCAGGACCAGGGAAGTGATTCTTCCCCTGTACTCAGCACTGGTGAGGCCACACCTCGAGTGTTGTGTCCAGTTCTGGGCCCCTCGGTTCAGGAAGGATATTGAGGTGCTGGAGCAGGTCTAGAGAAGAGCAACGAGGCTGGCGAAGGGACTCGAGCACAAGTCCTACGAGGAGAAGTTGAGGGAGCTGGGGCTGTTTAGTCTGGAGAAAAGGAGGCTCAGGGGAGACCTCATCACTCTCTACAACTACCTGAAAGGAGGTTGTAGCCAGATGGGCGTTGGTCTCTTCTCCCAGGAAACCAGCAGTAGGACAAGAGGGCATAATCTTAACCTCTGCCAAGAGAAGTTTAGGTTGGATATGAGGAAGAAATTTTTTACAGACAGAGTAATCAGACATTGGAATGGGCTGCCCAGGGAGGTGATGGATTCACTGTCCCTGGAGGTTTTTAAGGTGAGACTGGATGTGGCACTTAGTGCCATGGTCAAGTAACCATGGCGGTGTTGGATCAAGGGTTGGACTTGATGATCTTGGAGGTCTTTTCCAACCTGGTTGATTCTGTGATTCTATGATTTCAAATACAACCATCACATTACTGACTAGTATGAGGTAACTCTCCCTGATCATGGAGGACAGTGTTCAGTAGGTGCAAACCAGTTAATTTCTGTGCTGCCAATTGGTGTTCTACTGATCTAAATGGGATGTAGTTCTTTACTGCAGTATTCTTCTTTCTTGTCAGCTATAAGCTGCTTAGAACTGAGTTACTTAAGCTATGGCAATCTACAGTACTGCTGTGACTTCTACCGGTTAATCTGTTCTCTTGATAAAAGGGGAGTTCTACTTTTGCTGCAGGCAAGCATTTCTACCTGCCTTAGGTAAAATTGTAGCAGAATCTCTGGCAATGTCAACAGTCTCTGGTTTCTTTCTTTTATCATCACTGTAGCATGTGGCTTGTGGGCAGTGTCTGCTCTTCCGTTCTTTGTCTGCTCTTAGTCATACAAATGGCCCTCTTACTGAAGAAGACTTATTTCTGTATCGTCGCTGTTCAGAAACATTTTGGGTAATACAAAATAGTGTCTGTACCCTGTGGCCCTAAAACTTGATGACTGCTATACTGAATATGTGATTGCTGTAGGTATAAAATGACTATACCTGAAATTGGTGTAATTATTTCTGACTGGATTTGTTAAGGGAAAAATACTGTGCTGGATCCAACAGCTTGAGGCTGCTGCAGCTCCACGCCCCCAGGTATAACCAGTTGTAAGGCTGAAAATGTATTCCTGGTGGGCACAAGCACATAGAGCACATGCACACATGACATTTACATGAAAACATGTCTGGCCACACCAATCAGGCAAACACACAGATACTTAATGGAACACAGCAAAGACAGCCTTATCTTGCTCCCTTCCCTGTCTGAGCAGGAGATCACACACATATACACATACATAGATATACATGTAAATATCTATATCTGTATGTACTGGGTAGATACCCTCCAGCAGCTGACCTTGGACACCAATCTGCCCAGTAGCTCGTTCCAGGATCCCAGATTCCCTGGTTGCTGGTGTGTGGACACTTAGACTCCTGAGCCCATACTACTCTTCCCAACACTGGCACATGCTGTCTGTCTCTTGGCTGGCTGAGACTGCCCTGGTTACCTGATGTCCAACACCCCTCCACCCACACGGCCTTGCCCTTTAGAGAGACATAAGTGTGTATGCACATGCAGAGCTGGTGGCACTCCCCTGGTCCTCCATACAGACCTTTGTTACTGTTTTGGTGCGCATTTGTCAAGTGTCTCAGAAATGTATTTCATTTAGTTATGTGCTTCTGAGGTGATTTCCTATAGCATAAACCTGTGTTTCCAAGATACCCTCAAAGGGGTGTTGGCCTTTTGTAACGTTGCTCTTCTTTTGCCTGCTTTCAAATCAGGCAAAAAAACCTAAATTGAGGAGCAGCCCTGTCAAAGTTACAGTTTGTGGTAGGCAGCAGTCAGTGCAAAATTTGGATCTGCAGGTTAGTCCGGACCTTGGTTTTGCCCTAATAACTCTGATGTCTTGACTTTCTGGCACCACTATGCTTACACAGTACTTACACAGACTACACAGGTCTCTTTCCTTAATGGATCCATAATGGATGCAGTATTGTAAAATGAATATCTTTAGTGGAAGAGGGGATAGGGGACTTGATGGAGGTGTTTTACCTGCAGCCACGATGCATTTTGGTGTGAATTCTCTTAACATTCAGAATTCTGGTTTAGTGGGCTTATGCTCAGAAATGCCTGATTTATAACATGTAATTTCCATGATGTATGTGAAGGCCTGCCAGTCTGAGCGTCGGGGTGGCCCCTGCTCGGTGGGGTGCTGAGTTCGGGGGGGCTTTGTCGGAGTCGTGCCTGGGCTGTCCTGAGCCGCTCGTTCATCAGCGAGTCTGTGACTCTGCACAGGGCCCGGTGTGACAGGGCTGCGTCAGCCCTCTGACGGTCAGGGTGGTGCAGGGTCAAATTCTGTCCCTAGCCTTGGCGGGTCAGTGGGAACTTTGCCAGAGGGAGGGAGACCATCGCTGCCTCCGGCTTCAGCGTTGCTTCCTCGACTGAGGGTTTCCCGGGGAAGAGGCTAGTTCCCGTCGGCGGCAACGCTGCCGAGTGCAGGCAGGCGAGCTGCGCCTTCTCTGCGCCGAGGAGAGCGGTTCTCCTTTCCCGGAGGAGGCGGCCCCTGCCCTGGGAATGGGGATGGCTGGGCGGTGCCGCCGGGGCTTGCGGGGCAGAGCGCGCCCGCTGGGGGGCGCTGTGTGCCCAGGGGCCTCGCGCGCGCCCCTTGCGCGGCCGCGGCGGGGTCGGGGCTGCGCGCGGGGAGCCCTGCGGTGCCTCGTCCACCGCCGGCGCGTGAGCGGTGCGCGCGCGCCCGTTCGAGAAGGTTCCCCCCGCGCACGGCGCTGCGCGGGCCGGGCCGGGTCGGGCGGCGGGCCCTGCGCGCGGCGCGGGCACGTGACGGGCAGGCGGGAGGGAGGGGGGCGCGAGCCTACGGCGCGCCTGCGCGCGCTGCGGCGCGATGACGTCAGCGCGGTGCGCACGCACGTTGTCCCCAGCTGGCGGACACACGGTCCGCGTGAGAAAGGAAGCGGGAGGCCGCGCGCGCCTCGCGCACGGTAACGACCGGGGAGCGGGGCCGCGCCGGGGGCAGCGGCCGCGTCGCGTGCGAGCCCCGCGCGCCTCCCCGCGCGCTCCGCACCCGCCGCCCGAACTGCGAAAATTGACACCAGGCGCGGGCACGAGGCGGCCGGGACCGGGCCCAACGGCCGCGCCCCTCCGGCCACGCGAGGCGCCGCTGCGCGCGGACCGCCTCGGGAGCGCCGGCAGAGCTCGCCCCGCCGGGAAGGGCCGCGCCGGGTCTCGGCGAAGGGCGGCGCGGTTTCCACACGTGCGCCGGTCCCGTTGCCCGCCGGCGCGGGCGGTGGTTCCGGCCCCCGCCGCTGCCGGGCGGCTGCCGCGGGTGACAGCTGCCGGCCCCCGTCCATGGGCTTCTGGCTGGGGCCCGTCCAGCAGGGAGGGGGACGGGGGGGCGGAGAGCCTTCAGAGCGACAAGCGCGGCGCTCGGCCCACGACCATGACTCCACCTGCCCCGGGCGGGGCGCACTCGTCTCTCGCCGCGGTACCCGGGGCGGCCCCTGCGGGTGCTGGATCGCTCTCTCGCTCGCTCGGTGGGTGGGTGTTCAATGGGAGCGCCGCGCGCGGTGCCCGCTGCCATTGGGCGCGCGTCACGGGGCTCGCGGCGGCGGTGGCGGCGGGCGGGGCCGCCCCGGGGCTCGCGCGCCGCCGACGGTCCCCTTCCCGCGGTGCCTCCGGGCGCCGCCCGGCCCGGAGCGACGACCGCGGGGCCGCGGTCCCGTCCGCGGGGCGGGGAGTTTGGGTTAGTTTGTGTGTTTGTTTGTTGAGACGGACGTTCTCACTTCCGATTGTCCCGTTTTGAGCGTGTCTTGGTGCGACTTGGAGCGTGTTTGGCCGCTGCTGTCTGGCTGGGTGCTGCTTCTCCAGTACAGCGTCTGCGTTTAGAGAAGGGAAATACTTGAAGCTGTTTAGAACTTCGGTTTCAACAAATACACTCATTTTTCCTGAAATACTAGATTAGAGTCTATGTGCTGTAACAAAACAGGCCAGTGTGTGTGACCGAGTGTAACAAAATGTGTGAAATTGCTCGTGTAGTAGGCCGTGTTGGCACTGAAGTAACACGTTTTGGCTACTCTATCTGCACATAATCACTTTATAACCACACACATCTTCGACTGACTTGATACTGTGTGTGGCACTGGTGGCAGAAATAACTGTAACTGTTGCTCAGTAGGTCTTTATATGCATAGAATTTTTGCTGAGTACATGATTATTGAGGTTTTTTGATTTTTTGTTTTGGTAGGTGTAAGTTCTACCTCAAGTAGATTTAAAGGTACAGGCCTTCTGCATATCTTAAACCAGATTTGAAATCACTTCAGTAGTTTGTTTCCTTCATAAGGCAATACAATTGTGGTATATATTGGAGAGAATAATGTGAACTCACTCTGTGACTGTACATTCACTATACATATGAATGTGTTGTATGTGTATATAGAGAGGGTAAGTTGATGGAAAACCACATACAACTTAGGCTATGATTTCTTTCTCTCCTCTCTGTATATTTGAGATTTATTTTTCTGTTGTGTTTGTATAGATGAACATGAAAAAAATTATTTTGGGGATAGCTTTCTGCGTTGCTGGGACTTAATATGTGATCTGCTGAAAAAGCAGAGCAACATTCTTAAATTAGAAAATATGAAGATGATTTTGAACAGCTAATTCATTTTGTATCCTAGACTCTCTTAAGGAGTTCTCAGCGGGTAGGTGGTTGTGGATATGTTTGTGGGGAAAAATTTCCTCTGGAAACTAAAACTGAAAACCAAATCTTGTGACTTCTCAGGTATTAAAATCTGTGCGAACAGTTTTGGTTTATTTCCTCTGATTTAACTTTTACATTGACTTTTAAAGTATGAAGTATAAAGGGTGGAAATAAATTTCTCCTATTTCCTAGGTGTCCAGAACATTTATCATGGGGTATAAATTGCTTCCTGAGCTTGAGGTCATTTGCCACATGCATGTGGCAGCTGGTTTGCACAGAGGAGTGTTTCTTCCTGCCATACCCCAGTCCTAACAAAGTAAACGTGTCTTATTAAATATCCAGTTCATTTAAAACTTGTAAATTTAATTCTCTGGAAAAAATTATGATTGTTTTCCAGCAGCTAACTCATAGAATCATAGAATGGTTGGGAATGGAAGGAATCTTAAGGGTCACCTAGAGCCAGCCTTCCTGCCAGGGACACCTTCCACTAGACCAGGTTGCTCTGAGCCCCATCGAGCCTGGTGTTGAACACTTCCAGGGATAGGGCATTCACAGTTTCCTGAGTAATCCGTTCCAGTGCCTTACCACCTTCACAGTAAAGAATGTCTTCTTAATATCCAAACTAAACCTACTGTCTTTCATTTTGAAGCCATTCCCCCTTGTCCTATCACTGCATGCTTTTGCAAACAGTTCCTCTCCATATTCTAGGTCACCTCTAGGTACTGAAAGGCTCCCCAGAGCCTTCTCCAGGCTGAACAACCCCAACTCTTTCAGCCTGTCTTCACAGGCAAGGTGTTGCAGCCCTCTGAATATCTTGGTGACTTCCTCTGGACTCATTCCCAAAGACCAATATCCTTCCTGTTCTGGGGATGACCCCAGAGCTGGTTGCAACACTCCAGGTGGGGTCTCACCAGAGCAGAGCAGAGGGGCGGAATCCCCTCCCTTGACCTGCTGGCCACACTGCTTTTAGCGCAGCCCATTTTGGTGCAACACGGTTGGTTTCTGGGCTGAAGTGCACATTCATTGCCACCCCATGTCCAGCCTCTCACCCAACAGCACCCTCAGGTTCTTCTCAGCAGGACTACTCTCCATCTGTTCATCCCCCAGCCTGGATTGATGCGGGGGGTTGCCCTGTCCCAGGTGCAGCATCTTTGCACTTGGTCTTTTTGAACCACTTCTCTTAAATGTTTATTCATCCGTGTCCCTTTGAATGGCATCCCATCATTTAAGCATGTTAGCTTTACCACTCATTTTTCCAATATGGACCCCCGGCGGACACCACTTGTCCTGATGTCCATCTGGACATTGAGCCATTTACCACTACTGTCTGGATGTGACCATCCAGCCAATTTCTCATCCACCAAACAGTCCACCTACCAAATCCATTTCTCTCCAATTTAAAGTAGTGTGTCACAGGGAACTGTGTCAGAGTCTTTATGAAAGTCCAGATAGACAACATCCATAACTCTTCCCTTGTCCACCAATGTAGTCACTCCTTTGTAGGAGGCCACTAGATTGGTTAGGCAGGACTTGCCCCTGGTGAAGCCATGCTGGCTGTCCCAAATCACCTGTCCTCCATGTGCCGTAGCACAGCTTCTGGGAGGATCTGATCCATGATCTTCCCAGGTACAGAGAGGTGAGCCTGACAGATCAGTAGTTCCCAGGGTCCTCCTTTCTACCCTTTTTAAAAAACGGGTGCGATATTTCCGTTTTTCCAGTCACGTGGGGCTTCACTCGACTGTCATGACGTTTTGAATGTTATGCAGAGTGGCTTGGCACATCAGCTAGTTCCCTCAGGACCCTGGGATGCATCTCAACTTCTAGCAGTGGTGATTTACTGTGATCTCTGATTCCCACCAACTAGACTTTTGATACAAGAATCAATCATTTTTTGTCAGTATTGTATTCCACCTGTAATAAGGATCAAAATGCAGACATCTGGATGTGGGAATAGCATTCTCATGGTTACCAGAAGTGCTTGTTTTAAATTTTCACACACATAAATGTACAGGCTGTTTGAAAAAGGAAGTAGTTTATGATCTTTTGTTGTGGATGACATAATCGTTAACCTAGGAGGTAGACACACAACAATGGAATTGTGTATATGCAGATAACAGTAACAGTGATTATACTAATCATAACAGTACAAGTATTTCTTTTTTGATTTAAATTATTTCCAGAACTCAGAAGATAAAGGTAGCTGAGACCCAGTGCTTCACATTAATCCATTTAATCTTAGCTTCATGGCCTTTTGGGGGTTAGTTTGTCTATCTTTTTCCAAAGCTTATTCATTTGAACTGTTTTTTCCCTTCTTTTTGTCTCTGCCTTTGACAGACAAGTAGAAGTTCTTGGGGTGGGGAGGGGTGTAAGCAAAGAAATTCCAACCACACAAACTTAGTAATTTTCAATAAAGAAATTCAACAAAAATGTTTTTAACATTTCTTTTTCTTTTCCTTCTTCAAATTTTTGGGAAGTTTTAGACCTCAGGGAACTCCTTCTTTCTGGCAAGACTTTTGCCTCTATGTCAGAAATGTGTCATTTGCTCTCCTGGAAACTTTTGGCAAATGTTGTTAAGGAAATGATCTGAAGAGTTGAGGCAATGCCAGAAAAAAGAGCACTTTGAAATACCAAGCAAACCAAGACATTCTGTTGTGGCAAAGCATATATGAAAATGCTGTTTAAAGGTCTACTGGCCCCCCATGTCTTTAAGGTGGAAATTACATACACTCATGCAACCTTGATTTGTTACATCCTAATTACATCCTAATGTTCTATTTTATAGTACTGGTTATCTTTCAAGTTTTTAATGTGGAAAACTATTACAAAAAGGATGTCTCACAAGACTTAATTACTTTCTTAGAATGTATTGGAATATATTTAACTGTGTTTTCCTTTTCTTCCAGGATGTTGAACACACATAAAAGATCATCAGAACCGTGTAGAATTCGCGTTTGATTTGAGCTCGTGAGAGTGCTCATCATGGAGAAACAGCAAATTGTCTTGGCTAGCCAGGATGGCGGGACTGTGTCTGGTGCAGCACCTGCTTTTTTTGTCATCTTGAAACAACAGCAGGGAAATGGAAAAGCTGACCAAGGAATCCTAGTAGCAAACCGCGATGCTTGTGCTCTCGCCAACAGTGTATCAACTCCAGTAAAACCCAGAGTCAAGACCTGCCTCCCAGCTGACTGTGTCTCAGGGGGCATTACTGTCACGCTGGATAACAACAGCATGTGGAATGAATTCTACCATCGCAACACAGAGATGATTCTGACGAAGCAAGGGAGGCGCATGTTCCCGTATTGCCGATACTGGATTACAGGTCTGAATTCCAGTCAGAAGTACATCCTAGTCATGGACATATCCCCTGTGGATAATCACCGATACAAATGGAATGGCCGTTGGTGGGAGCCCAGTGGGAAGGCAGAACCACATGTTCTTGGGCGAGTGTTTATTCATCCAGAATCACCTTCCACTGGCCAGTTCTGGATGCACCAGCCGGTGTCCTTCTACAAACTTAAACTTACCAACAATACCCTGGACCAGGAGGGTCACATAATCTTGCATTCTATGCACCGTTATCTGCCACGACTTCACTTGGTGCCTGCAAACAAAGCCACAGAAGTAATTCAACTTAATGGCCCTGATGTCCATACATTTACCTTTCCACAGACAGAATTCTTCGCAGTTACAGCCTACCAGAACATCCAGATTACCCAGCTGAAAATAGATTACAATCCATTTGCTAAAGGATTCAGAGATGATGGGTTGAATAGTCGACCTCAGCGTGATGTGAAACAGAACAGTAACTTGGAATTGGAGGGAGGTGACGTTTTTAGTGCTGCTGGCATTTGTGGTCGCCCTGCTGAAGTTGATGCATTAGAAGTGCATCAGAGAAGTTTAGATTCTTCGCTGATTGTTCAAAACCCATCAGACATCAAGCTTAACAAAGAGTCCTTTAATGAACAAGGAGACTTTCTGGGTCTCCTGGACACTGACCTGTCTTCAGGTGTTATGCCAAACCTAAAACAAGAAGTCTCTGAAAGGTGGGTTAACACTGCATTTTTGGTACAAATACTGGTTGAGTGGGATGTTTGGTAAACAAATAACAGGATGCTCAGTGTACAGATTTACAACTAAAAGTTGCGTGACCTGAAATGGAAGAACACTTAGTATTACTATAAGCTTTTCTTTGCTCGAACAATCTTTAACAGTCTGGGCTTTCTAAGGTCTTTGAGGAGTGCAAGAGTTCAATATTATTTTCTGTGTTGCTTTAGCTCCCTTTGTTAAGAAGTGTCGAGGGATTTCTCTTAACCCTCTTAGCATTTTAGAAGGCTAAATTTATTTTTTCAGTGTTTTAAATAGCACATTGCAGTCATCAAAACACTACCTTTCCTTTTAGGGTTGCTTGCCCCAGTGACGTGCTGTCTATGTAGCTTCAGTTTGCATTAATGGATGGTGTGTGGTGCGTGTGGGTGTTCAGGTTGGGTATGTATAGGGATTGCTGCAAGGCAGTTGTAGTTGGCAGCACACCACTGTTTTGTCAATAACTGCTTGGTGTGAATTCTTTTATTCCACAAAGTAGTGTGAGGTAGCCTGCCTGTTGGTAGTCAGTTGCCTCATATTTGCTGTCAGGTAGGAGAATCTGCACTCACAGAAATGCTTCAGAATAACTTCCTTTTGCTAAAGCAAGCCTGGCAAAACCTATTATTTTACTGCTCTTTCACTTAGTTTTCAAAATCTAAGCAATAGAACAGAGCAGACATTGAATAGTTAATGTGTGTCAAGAGATGCTAGACGTACTTTGAATGTGAAGAAATAAAAAGAGTATAATAAAATAAAAGTGACATGTTGCTTCATGTCACTTTGTCACTTCAATTTACAAAGTTCTCCATACTTGACGCTTTATTGAGTTTAATTGCAATAATTCTTGAGTACTAGAATTGTTTTGAGATCTAGAGTGTCCTAACCTTTCTTCTGCAGTATTTTCCAGTGTCAGTCTGTTAGGAAGAAGAACATCTAGACTTCTTATATTCCCCCAAAATTGTCTTGTAACCCACTTTAAAGACTGAAAGCACACTGATTACAGAGAGGATGGGCTTTCTTTAGTTCCTAAGAATACAGCATGGAGAAGCGTTTAGATAACTTTTCATATTGGAAGTAAAACTCGGAAAATAATTATTGACAGGTTTATTTTGCCTTCATAGCGATACTTTATTTTCCTGGAGAGGGTAATTGAACCAGATTATTTGGAGAACTGTTTATTTCAAAGGAATGAAAACCATTGTTTTAAGGACTCAAGGACCTTCCTAAAAATATATAATGCAAATTGGCAAACTTTATTTCTTTTGGTCCAGAGCATGTTAGATGCCTTCCTTGGTTTTGCCTCCAAGGCATTTTATCTCTGAAATGTGCTAAAAGCTGCACAGACAGGAAAAGACTGCAAAGGATCTTTCTGTTGTCTAGGCTTGGAAGCACGTGCCATTTGATGAATAATTGTTACCACCATCCTAGAACTACCTTTAAGCATTGTCCAGCTTTTTATTTTAGGTTTTTGTAATCTGTGTGAAAAAGTAAAATTCAACACTTGGAAAGAGAAAATTGATCTTATCCAAGAAATGGCAAATTGTCTTTGTATATGCTGGAGTTTTTCGGAACAGTAGTTCTCCTTTTTATTTCTGATCTGTTCACAGTATTTTTGTGCCATGTCATTGAGTTTATAAATATGTTAGCCTTTCAAGGACAGCATTGAGCCCGTGGCATTTTTATTTATCAAACTAAGCACATTAATATTTACATGTTAATGAAGACCGGGCAATAGTTTTTTGTGGCAGGCAAGCTCTTAGTAGCAGTTCATAGGCTCTATCTTGCTTTTATGCAGGGTATTGATTTCTGCTGAGTTTAGGTTTGGGTGAGAGACAGAAGTTGGGAACTGCTACCTCTCAGATAAAAGAAGTGGAGTTCCTAATGCTGTAGAGCGTGGTACTTCCCACCAATAGTCAATTCTTATGACGTTTTTGAGAATGGAACTATGTAAAAGGTTACATATACCTGAGAGTAATTTTAATCCTGAGTTATTAGAGGATTTTAGAAGTAAAGGACTATTTATCTTCATACAAGGTACTATGTGGACTTTTTTTGTATTTTTCTTCTGTGGTCTGATAGTATGTTTAGTCTAATCAGGTGTGTTGTAAAGAAAATAAATGTTTAATTCAAGTTTTGGGCGCTTCTATAGGAATGCTTATGCCTGGAAACACTCAGATGTTTGGGCCATGGAAGGAGCCACAAACAAAATTTACTGGTTCTTAAGTGTTTCAGGTTAATCTACCGTTTCTCCTTTCCAAGGTCTTTTACACTTCTTGCTTCAAAAATAAAAATTCTGTGGGATTTTTAATTATCAATTAGTCTTGTTTTTATGATTTAGTTGTCTTGACTCTTGACAGTTTGCTTTTCTTACTTCTTCGCCTTTCTTTTGGGAGAGAAAGGCAAGTGATCATCCTTCAAACCTCGGCCACAGGTTGCTAGATTAATTCCACAAGACATCAAATTTTTCCCCCCCTTCCCCTCTGGTATATTTTGAAATGATGTGCCTAAAAAAATTGATATGTCTTGGTACTTTCAAAAAATGAGCAGCTTAATGATTTTTAATTTGGCAAAATGTAAGAAGCAATTTCTCTGCTTTTACTGTTCTGTTGCGAGGGTGCCAAATAAATTACTTGGGCTGTAAGGAAGATGGTTTGAATATGAGCATTGTTCCATATCAGGCAAAGAAAGAGCTAGTTAAGACACTATTTCACTATTTTATCAGATCTTGGATTAAACTGAGAATTTTGAGAGGACAGACTTTCTTGCCCATAGATGAGAGGAAGAGAAGTTTGTGACTACTTAGGTTGCACATAATTTCACAAACTAAGGGCCAAATGAAATGACTTCAGTGCTAAGAAGGAAGTTTTTTATTCTTTAAGAAGTTGATAATTGCATCAGAATTTTAAAACAGAAAAATGCTGCTCAGGATTTGTGCAAATACTTTATATTCTCATGCATATGTATATGTGGGTGATACATCACTCTTGTCACCATCTGGCCTGGTTCCAATATGCAGAATAAAACAATATTTGTGTCTAGAAGTTTCAATTTTACAGCTGGGCTTCTTTGGTTTGGATACTGTCCAGATCCCTTATAGAAAGGTAATCCTTAGCTTACATATACACACCTTGCAAAGGATACAGGAAAATTACTAGGGAAGTCCAGGCTTTACTGGGCTTCCAACCAGAAACAATAGAACTCAGGTGAGACATTTATTCCTGGCCTGTAAGTTTTTTAGGGTTTTTTGTCTCTTTATTTTTGAGAATTTTAAGATAGAGGAGCAGGTACATTCACTTTTAATTGTGAATCAGCTGTACTGAATCAACCTCTAGCTGTAATGTGATTTTCAGTTGCCAATAACCTATAAGTGGTTTGTCTTTGAATTTGACAGTTAACTCACAGACGAAAAAAGGGGTTTTAATCTTACAAGGACTTTTTAATCTTACATTTGACATTATTAATTAAATGATAGCTAGAAACTTTCTAGTAGGAAACTCATTGTCCAGAGACGACAGTAGACTAAACAAGACAGTAGACAAAACTCTGCTGCTGCCTGCTATTCCCTCATAAGGCAGGTTGTTCTTCAAGCTTAATGCTGTTTACTTAGTGTCCTGAACGCAGAAAGTTTTTTAGATACCTTCCCTCTTGTTCTTTAGGATTTTATATGTAAAGATATAAATCTGTATCTTGATAGTCAGCTCCCTGTTTTAACACTGCAGTCTTTCTTCTCAAGGTGAAGACTCCCAGCTCCATGTTACGACTCTTGTGCGTCCCAGCTTTTCTCCCTAAAGTATGTCCTCCATCTGCAGAAGGAGGAAGCAGCCTCTTCATCCACTTGTTTTCCCCTTCCTCAATCCCAGCTGTGGGTTCAACTGAGCATAGTCATTCTTTAAAGGGGTACGGATGGATAATATTAATAATAAAATAGACACACATACATATATACACCCAGTATATGTAAAGCAACATTCACTCTCTATATAATATAGCATTATTACAATTATGTTAAATTATATTTGAAATTGTTATAATTAACAAGTAGTATTATTTTTAATAACATTTCAATAACAAAGTTGAAAATTTGAATAATAATTTAATATAATTAAAGTTCTATGTAGTGTCTCAAAATATATATAAAGAGTATTGGAATATCAGATCATACGTTTAGTAAATAAGTTCTGACTTTTTTCTGAGGTTCACTGTGAATATGAGTTTCTGATTTCATACCTGATTTCATTTTTAGCTGTTTTCTCTTATGATGAGGAGCCAACTTCTGATACACTTTAAAAAACTGCTGATTGCAGTTTTTTGACTGATGTGTCTGACCCTCAAGGAGCCCATCATCAAAGTGTAACTGCCTGCACTGTTAGTGTTCTGTATTTAATGCATGACATATTGAATTCTGGTTAGGTTAGTACTCAGATTTGGTGAAAATGGAGCAAGATTCACCAGGATATTAACATTCTGTAAGTGTTCAAACAGCAGTTGAACTTAGGAATTGTCTGTATGTGGTTTCAGGATGAATTAACTAAAATTTTAGTGCATTAAACACTCACTTGGCTTCTTATTTACAAGCACAATGGCTTTAGTGTCTTAACAAGATACACGTCAAAAGGCCACTTTTGAGCATTTCAAACATGACAGCTTAGCATAAGTTCATGCTGAGTGAAAGAGGAAATAAGACAAATGTCGCCCTGATAGTAGAAGGGAAGGAAGTTGTGCTGCTGCCTTCAGATAAGAAATTGAATTGTTCTTAATGATGGCAATTTCTTAGGGTTTTTTGAGTGCTTACTTCTAAAAATGTAAGCTTGTAAATGACAGCTAATTTGGCAGACCCGCATCTGGGAGCATTTTGGAAGGTTTTTACAATATGTAACCCAGGATTATATGAGATAATGGAATTTCAGTAAAGGAAGAGATTTGATAAAGATCTTATGTTGTGTTTTGGTTTTGTCCCCTCCCTTCCACCCCAGTCCCATTGCTAGCAGTTATGAAAGCACTTCTCGTGTGGCATCTCCGTTGGACCCAAACGGACACTTTAATGTAGTCATTAAAGAGGAACCAGCAGATGACTATGACTATGAGTCAAATATTTGCATACAAGGTATAACTGTGAAACAGGAAGACACGGATGAAGAAACTGATGAGTATTCCAACACTGATGATGATGATCCCATTGTACAGAAACACCTAATGAGACGCCGTGAAACAGATGGAACTGATGGAGAATTCAGGTCTAGGAAGCGTATGCTGACCAGTCCTTCAGGTGTTGCCAAAGCAAAAATGTTAAAACTGGATAGTGGTAAGATGCCTGTGGTCTATTTAGAACCTTGTGCAGTCACAAAGAGCACAGTGAAGATATCTGAGTTGCCACAGACCATGCTTTCCTCTTGCAAGAAGGATAAGTCCCCTTTGAGTGCAATCCTGGATTCTTTGCCTGTGTGTTTTGAAAATCACAAAGACTCTTACTCAGGCACTGTCACTGAGGAGTTAGTTACAAAAAAAGAATCTCCTGGGAGTAAAATGTCACAGAAATACTCTTCAATTGGAGAGGCCCAGTGGACTCTATCCAAATCACCTAATCTTAATCTCAGGGGCTCAGTAAATTGTGACTTTTCAGACAAAGAGATCTGTAGCAGAAGAAGGCCTGGTATACTGAAAAATCCTATGTCCATCAAAGGCTCTGGTAACAATCAAAGCACCCTATCATCAGTTACAACTAAAAGAGGAAGGCCACGCAAACTGAAAATTTCCAAGGCTGGTCGACCACCTAAAGGTATAGGGAAAACTGTAATAACAAGCAAGAACACCTCTCTTGGGCCTGGGAATATCCTTCCAGATGTTAAACCAGACCTTGAAGATGTTGACGGTGTCCTTTTTGTGTCCTTTGCATCAAAGGTAAAACCTCACTGTTGTTGATAAGCTTTTATAATAATGTCTCATTTTTAAGCCCTTTTTGCTTGCAACTGGAGGTATATTTTGTTTTAAACTGAGTTCGGAGATTTGTGGCCTCTTTCCAAATCCGTCCTTATCTTGTGCCTATGTTATTCATAACATTTACTTACTTAGGAGCTTAGGGAAAAGTAGTGCGATCTAGAGTTCTGTATAAAACAATTCATACTTTTTTATTAATCAGTCTCAAGTTTTGAATACTTGCTGACAATTTGATGTGTCCCGGTTTGCGTCTAAGTGTTTTAAGGGATCTTACACTTACTCAAGCCTCTTTATGCGTCTAGGAAGCTCTTGACATTAACACTGTTGATAGAGCTGGAGGAGAAGAGTCACAGAATCTTCAGGCTCCTCTGTTGACTACAAGTGATCCAGGTACATTTTTCTATTTTTTTGTGAGCGGCTCTTCCCTGCAATAAGGGAATTTGTAAAGACACACTGAAAAATTAATAATTAAGTCAATTTTTTGCATGGTAAATTTTTTTTATATATTCTCTCTTTTTTATTTTTTGAGCAGATTGTCAAGCAAGAATACATGTGCTGGAAAAGGAATTGATGGAAGAGCTGAAGACGTTGAGGCATAAGCAAGTAATACATCCTAGTCTTCAGGAAGGTAAGCAAGTGATGTACATGCTGTTGCACCTGGTTGGTTATTATACTTAATCATACTGAGCTGATGATTTCCTTCTGGTTGCAATACTGTATATGCCTAATCCATCTGGGATTTAGGTTTTCATTTTCACACATTCTTGTTACAAACTAGAAAATGTGCAGGTGGCAATAGGTGGATCTTGAATTTCCAACAGGAGAGTTGGAGTCTGCATGTTATGTGACTTGCAGAAGTCGCTGAGCCTTCAGACTTCAGACAGTGGCTGTTTTTTAATGAGCTAAATCTGGTTGAGAGCTGATGGAGTTGATTTTACTCCTTCATTAAAATAGATATTTCCTGATAGTAGAGGAGCTAGAGATCCAGCAACAGTTAAGTAAGACTTCATTTGCTATATTTGAATCCATATTTCTTTGAATCCTTGTAGATCCAGGTTCACTAGCCACATAGAAGGGGCAAGCAAGGTACTTGTATTTTGTGATCTTTTATTTATATACAATATTATCCTGAGGTAGATGGGAGAAAGTCAAGGATCCACACAGCAGAACTTAATCTTCTTTCTACTGATGATGTTGAAGGACTTCGGCAATATTAGTCCTGAGACCAATGACATTAATATAGTCATCAGAGCAGGTGATGAAATTATTGATCCTGATGGAAGTATTGTACCTCACACTCCTGAGGCTCTGGCCCTGAATTTTTCAAACATGTAACTGTAATACTGTAGGGACTGAGGCTCCAAATACTGATACTCTGATATGAGCTGTTCTGACTCCTCAAAGACCTTCTGTGGTGAAGAATGCTGGATTATCTTGAGTGGTTTATGTAAGAGGTTTATGTACTAACCTGTCATTTTTTGCAATCATTTAAAGGAATGTCTTCACCTCTCGTTAGTGTCGAGCTGACATTTCTGTCTTTAAACTTTGCAAAATGGTCATAAGAAGGGGATAGAGAGTTCTTAGATCTGTGTCCCAGATGTGGTGGGAATAAAACAAGATAACCTATCTCTAGCCAAGTTGTACCTCAGTGATACAGCATCAGTGTTGGCAGTCGTATCAAGAAAATGGAGTTTTCCCTTGCCATGATTCCAGAAATAGGCATCCCTGTTTTCTAATGACCTCACTGGCCAACCTCCCCTCACAGGTCCCTGTGTGTTCTCGTGCATTACGTTACCACCATGTTTTTAAAACTGGGGGCAAAATCCCTTTTGTGGTCAGCTGCTGGGAGTGCTAGATACAGCACTAAACAAATGTTACAGTAACGTTAAACCTTCTTATGGACTTCTTAGATGTTATCTAAGAAAAGTATCATAAAATTATAGTATGTTGGCAATCATGTGATGTGTTGGCAACTACAAAACTAGCGAGGGCTGTTTTACTCATGAGATGATCCTGCAACTGAGAATGTGTACAACCCACATGTTTTCCTCCAGCTGCTGGAGTGGTGTGAAATGTGTAGTTGAGAAGCTTAAGATTCTTTTTGAGATTCACTGATGAAAAGTTGGAGCTGTACCCGAACCCCGCAATTGCTGTTGATTTTTGAAGTTTAAAACATGGTGATTGAGGCTCTCTGGATCTTAGAAGCACCAGAGTGCCAGGAAGATGCTTCATTAAGTAGGGAATCCAGCTTAAGCATGTTAGAAGGAAAGCTTCTGCTGGAGTACTGCAATGCTATGGGATGCCTCTTCTGTCTGAGCTAGTTTGAATCCCATATTATATTCCTGAAAATCGAAGGCACTGTTGCCGTGCATCATATTTCAGATTTGTCAACTGCCACTGATGGAAAAGAGAAAGTTCTTAAAGCTCTTCATTTGCTACTATTTGACTACAGCAACTGAAATTTAGCAATATGATGGAGATGATAGAAAGTAATAAAGGTGATAGTTCACCTGTTATGTATGGGGATGTCTGTAGTGACATAATACTTAACTGTTACCATCTGTTCTCTTCTGGCTATCTGCGTGCATTTCATGTTGCTCTTGGAATCATTTTTTTTTTGGAGTATTAAACAAAGATAGGCTTGTTTTTGGAGGTGACAGAATGGAGTGTCAAGAAAAATAGATTGTGTACTCTTTCCATCTTACTTGAAATAGAATTTGAAAAGAAATGGATGGCATCTTGACATTTGGCAGTTGACGTGTTTTTATACAAAATGCCAGATTGACTTGCTTGCTTCTCATTTTCCCTATGTAGATATGAAAATAATATCTTACTAAACTGCCTTTGATAACAGTATTTGTTTAAACAACCATGTTTGAGATTTGTTCCATGTTGATTGTTTCCAGGCTGCCAGTAATCTGGTCACTGTGTTGCCACTTATTACCACCAACACTGAGTTATCTATGCAAATACTGCGTTATGTTTCTTGAGCCTTATCAAGTCATACATGTTCAGTTTCAAAGCTCACACGTTTAATGTATTAATTTTAGACATGTTGGCAACAGCAGAAACATTTGTAGGTTTCTATACCTAAAATCCAAAATAGATGTTCTCAACTCCCAACTATGAGCTGAATTTGATTGACAGCAGTAATTTCTGGAATTCAGTGTGACAATATTTTCTGGTGCAAAGTGAAATTTCCTAGCTTCTGCTTTTCTCAGCATTTTTGTGTCTATATTTGTTTCGTCATGGATAAAGATAGCTTTTGTGACCAAGTAAATCTTTCAATTTGAGTATTTGTGGGCAGTTAATGAAGGAACATGTTTTAGGCAGTTAAGTATTTATGGGGCCATCAGCAACATGGATTGTTTCATTTCTTTATAGCCATTTTTCCCCCTGCTTCAGGGGAAAAAAAAAGTGTTTTATTGCAAAGTGCCAAGTTCAGGGAAAAAAATAACCTACTGAGACTGGGATCATTTGATGAACTAAGTTCTGAGATCAGTCTAAATACAAGTTTGTATCATATCAAACAGACGCAGTCTTCAGAGCTAAAATGTGCTTTGCTCTTCTCTCTTACTGCTGGTTGAAACTGATGTGTGTGCACAAGATTAGCTTTCAGTACAGAAGGGGATGTAAGTACCACTGGCAGGATTGATAATTTAGGTAGTGATATGAAATGTCAGTCAGCTGAGTTGGGTTCAGGCAGTAACTGTAGTCTTCAAGGATATAGACAGTCCTGACTTATTCAGAAAAACAAGCAAAAGCTTTTATTGTGAGATTTATTACAACACTAGCACCATGGTTAATAAATTTCTGTGAAAACTTAGGTAGTAATTAAGAAAACTGTGAAAAGTAATTCAGTCTTTTTTTCCTCAATTTCCCATTACATAAAATGCTCTTTAATTCATACTTGCTGTAAATCCAGTATAAATAACAGTTATAGATGCTAATGCTGTTTTTCAAGTCTCATAAAATGGTGGGTGAATGCTAGAAAAGCCTGTGTATAACTTAGTGGTTTGTCTTTTAGTAAATAGCTTGACTTTCTTGTAGTGGGATTGAAGTTGAATTCTGTGGACCCAACAATGAGCATCGACTTGAAATATTTGGGTGTGCAGCTTCCTCTTTCCTACTCAAATTACTCTTTGTGGAGCTATCCAGGAACCAATCCCAATTCTCCAGGTGGGTAGAATATGAATTTGATGAAATCCCAAGTATTACCTTTTTATTATCAATGATGAGAAGGAGAGAATGGCCATTTAGTTCAGCTTAATATCTTAAAGAGATTAAGTGATATTAAAAGGACAAAATACGAGAACTTCTTTGAATCATTATGTGGTTACTGGCCAAGGAGTCCTGAGTAATTGTGGCTGGATTGCCTTTAGCCTTCCTGTTTTGTGATGGCTGTGATACCTAGTTTATTTTATACCAACCTCTCAAATTGCTCAGGAAAAGCCTAAGCGAGCTAAATTTGTTTAATGTTGCTCACATGCAAAACAAAAAAAAGTTGTCTTTTACAGAGCTGAGTATTAGAATTTTCCAGAAGAGCTTGAGATGCCACTTGGGAGCTGCCCTGTAACTTCTTAATAATTATTTATTACAAAAGTGCTGACTGATTGTGCTTTTTTAAGCTTACTTGTATCCAAACAAGTGCATTTCTCATTATACTGTGACTGTGATTCTGATACTGTTGGTAGATACTGTTTTTAGTGATGAACTGGTTGGATGAAGTATAGCTTAGCTTATATGCTTATCTTTCTTCTACTTAACTTTTTCTTCCACTGTAGTATTCTGATTACTGTATCTTTCTTAATCTGTTGCTTTTGGAAGCTGATAGAGGCAGACATTGAATCTCAATTTTGTTTACACTGCAAGAGAGGCAGATTCAGTTCAGAAGACCTCTGTCAACTTGGTGTTAAATGCAGTTATTTCTAGCTTAGTAATACCTGAAATGCCCACACAGATCCTTGCTCATATTTTTATATTTTTTATATTCTATCTATTGAGAGCTATTCTAGCTCTCAAAGCTGATGGATAACTTGTTAGAGATGTCACTGTTTGCCCATTGTGGTTATTTACTGTCCCTGCCCCTAACTGATACTCATCTGAATTTAACAGAACACCAAATGTTAAATTAAGTTTCTACAGGTCTTATAAAAGTCATTGGCTCAATGCAGGGGAGAGAATCAAATTACTTCTCTTGCTGAGTGAGGCTGTAGAATCAGATCAAAACCTGCCTGTTCCATTTTAGCCTACTAATTACTTGATTGGCCCACTAGACTTTTGGAATCAGCTGCTTGCACCACTGTTAAGGAGACTAAAACTGAAAATACAGGAGAAGAAGACACTTTTTGTATGGGATAGCAGATGCATGACCATACAGCAGAACTCTACAGGAAGCTTGTATTTGTTAGTATTCTGTTTACTGAAAAAAAAAAAAGTAAAAATAAGAAGTAAAAATCAAGTTGCTCCAAACTTTTTGATTTTCTACTGTTTCATCTATCCCTGAAAAGGGAAAAGCAATAGACTCAAACTTGGTTCATAAATTGAGGCTAGCTTTCTTCTTTTCCAGATACTGGATTTCCTTTTGTTTCCAGGACAGGAAAAACAAATGATTTCACAAAAATCAAAGGCTGGCGAGGGAAGCTTCATGGTGCTTCTAGAAATGAAGGTAAAAAAAAAAGTAAACCAAGAGAAGTCAGTGTACATATTTCCAACATGTGGCCTTTTTCTTGACTGTCCATATGTCTTGCAGTTTGGTATTTGTGTGTGTCTTGATAAGAATTTTCTTTTTTATATATTGAAACTGTTATTGAACTGAATTTTTTAGTACTGGTTTCATAGTCAGAATGGAAGTTAATGAGGGAAGAGAGAAACGCACTCTGAGTAAGATAAAAATACATGTCTTCTGTTCTATACAGAAGGCTTGAGTGAAGATCAAAGCTGTAATAGTTTTGGTTTTGTTTGTCAGTTTTGAGTTTACATGGAAGTACGGTAATTCCAGAATTATGTTGCCTCAGGGACCCTAATGAACTAGAGTAATTTTCATTTATATTGATGTATTTTTAACTCCAGTTAAAGCAGGTATTCCTGACATATTTGATTACTTCACCATACCTCAAGGAGAAATGGATCATTGGCAATTTGCCAATTTTTTACTTTAGGTTAAATATTTATATTGTACTTTCTGTACCTTTATGGGATATTCCAGATATGTTGTGGTGTACCAGGTAGTTCAGGTGTTTAGGACAAGGAAAGTAAGAATAGAAACACAGGAGCCCTGCCTGTTGAAGGCTTGTTTTTGTGAGTGAATGCTGTGTGGCGTCTGGCTGAGATGGAGCTCATTTCCCCATAGCAGCCCTCACACTGCTGTGCTCTGCATTGGTAGCTGGAAAGGTGTTGATAACACACCAGTGTTTTGGCTACTGCTGAGCAGTGCTGGCACAGCACCAAGGCTGCCTTCCAACATTCCCCCCCTCAGCAGTAGGCTGGTGGGTGGGCATGATCTTGGGAGGGGACATAGAACAGCTGACTCAAACTGATCAAAGGGATATTCCATACTGTATATCTACTCAACAATAAAAGCTTAAGAGAAAGGAGAAAGAGTGGGGGCATTTGTTATTTACGATGTTTGTCTTCTGGAGTAACTCATGCTTGTACTTAAGCCCTGTTTCCCAGGAAGTGCCTGGACATCACCTGCTGATGGAAGGGAGAGAATAAATCTTGTGTTTTCCTTTGCTTCCACACATGGCTTTGCTTTATTAAATTGCTTTTATCTTGACCCATGAGGTTTTTTGCAGCTTACTTTCAGTCCCTCACTCTGCTGAGAAGGGGAATGATGGAGTGGCTTGGTGGGCACCTGGAGTCCAGCCAAGGTCAACCCACAACAAATACACATGTGAGATTTCCACAAAAACAGTTGTTCAGGCTGCTGGTTGTGTTTCAGAGTGGGTTATATTTGTTGTACCTACATTTTTTAAGAGATGTATTTACCTATTCTATAGTGTTTAATTATTATAACATTTGTCAGTGTGTTTTTCCAGGGGTTAAAGTACTCTTTATTTATTTAGGTGGCAGTTCGGAAGGTTCATTGAAGAATCGCTCAGCGTTCTGTAGTGACAAGCTGGATGAGTATCTGGAAAATGAAGGGAAATTGATGGAAACAAGTATGGGGTTCTCTTCTAACACTCCCACTTCTCCTGTGGTGTATCAGCTTCCCACTAAGAGCACTAGCTATGTGCGAACACTCGACAGTGTTTTAAAGAAGCAGTCCACTGTAATTCCATCAACATCTTTCACATTCAAACCTGTTCCTCCATCATCTACCTCTAGGAAGACAAAGACTCAAACCAGACAGACATCTACAAACAGTAGAGTAAAGTCATCTTACAAGCCTATTCTGCCTTCACCTTTTCCTGCAAAGCAGAAACAGAACTCATCAGTGTCAGGGGAAAAGGCTTCTAAGTCTGCTAGCAGTTTGAGTAACCAGGCAGATGGTTTTGTGCTGCCAGCTGTGGATGAAAATACATTTCCAAAACAGATTAGTTTGCGTCAAACACCACAACATCAACAAGCAGCTCGTCCACCAGGTTTGTCTAAGTCTCAGGTGAAGTTAATGGACTTGGAAGACTGTGCTCTCTGGGATGGGAAACCACGTACCTATATTACGGAAGAGCGAGCAGACATCTCTTTGGCAACCCTGCTTACAGCTCAGGTAGATCTGTAATTGTTTTTTTCTGTACTGTTGCTTTATCTAATCTGCCCATTTACTGATGTTGCATAGACATGCAGAAGATAAGACTAAAACTGCTAAGGAGCATGACAGAGCATGAAGTTACTTTGTGGTGTAGTCTTTGCAGTGAAAGTTGAGGAGTGCTGACTTAGCAGTATGTGAAAATACTAATTGTGATAACAGCATGGTCATACAAATGATGAATAATTTGAGTTCTCTAAAATTTTCACCATTAAAAATTCTGTTAATACAATTGTTGTTGAGTGACTGCATTTGCTTGCTCTTTGTCACTTTTATTTTTTCAGTTGAGCTAACTGCAAGACAATTATGGTCATGTAACTTGATTGTCACATGATAACTTCTTTTGCTTTTTCCCCATCTTACTTATTACCAAGACAGTTTCGCTATTTCAGATTGACTCTCAGAAGACTTCAAATGCAAACACTCCTCTGTTTTTTGGGGTTTTTTAGGTATAGATGACAAATTTTTGTATGTAAACAATTTAGTCGGAAAGGTTATTCTAAATGAACTTTGAATAGCATTTTGCATATGCTTGATTTAATTTTACTAAAATATTCTTCTTACTAAAATCGGAGGTTTATATTTCTTTAAAACTTTTTTTTAGGCATCTCTTAAAAGCAAACCTATCCACAAAATAATAAGACGACGAGCACCTCCTTGCAATAATGATTTCTGTCGACTGGGTTGTGTATGTGCCAGTCTAGCGCTGGAGAAACGTCAGCCTACCCACTGCCGCAGGCCAGACTGTATGTTTGGTTGTACTTGCTTGAAGAGAAGAGTGTTGCTGGTGAAGGGAGGATCAAAACATAAGAAAATGATGAAAAAGGCTGTACGTGGAAATCTTGTGCTGTACGGAACACAAGGACAACAGCAAGAGGATGAAGATGTGGAAGAAGAGGGTGATGGGGAAGAAGAAGAGTTGAAGCAGAAAGATAAGAAGAAGAGAAAAAGAGTGGAATACAGTGAGTATTGGTGGGCAATATATATGTGCTTTTATATAACTGACTAGCAGGAAATAACACCTTTTCTCTTTTTTTTTTTAATTCTTGCTTACCTGGTCAGCATTTTGGGCACTATGTAGTTGTTTATTGCAATCAAATAGCTGGAGTTTCTTTTTGGTAATTTAAACTCTTGCTCAAATCTCTGAATATATCTAAAGACTATGGATATGAGATAATTACTGCTATCACTGTTGGCAATATTCAGTGTGATAATGCTGTTATCTTTCCCTGTTACTAGGTGAGTATCTAGAGCTGTATTTTCAGTTGCCATATATAGCTACATAGTTCATTGGCTTCAGAGAAAATACAATGATTTATGGTAGTTTCAGACCTGGCCTAAGGTATGCTCAGGAAACCAAATTGGTAGAAATTGTCTATGAATTTACATTTTCATTTTCTTGCTCGTATTACCTTTAGCAATAACTAAAAGTGAGCACAGTGTTTTCTGGTGTTCTACCAGAATAAATTAATTCTTCCAAAGAGCTATAGTATACAAGTCTAGGATTTTTTTGGTGTTTTGTAATTTTTCAGTACACAGCATCAGTGAAGGTCACTAATTTTCAGTGCCGTTGTGTATCTGCTATCACAGTACAAGTGAGCAATGGTTGGCATAGCATCATTTGATTATCATTTGCTATTTCTTGTAGACAAATCCCTGTCACTTTTGGCTATAATTTGAGGCAAGAAAAGCAACCAGTAGTATGTCTGGCAGTATGAACTAGTGATTGCTGCATGGCTAGATCTCAAGAAAGTTCGTTTGTAAGTTATGTTTGGTTTTATTCTTTTTTTCAGCTATCTGTGACTCGGAGCCAGAACAACCTGTTAGGAATTGTCCATTGTGGGTGAAGGTAGAAGGTGAAATAGATCCAGAGCCCATTTACGTCCCAACACCATCTGTTATTGAACCAGTTAAATCTACGATACTGCCCAACCCAGAAGTCTTGCTTTCTAGTAAGAACAGATCTTCCAGTGGAATAAAACCAGGCAGAGTGTATACTCCTAAACCCAATCCAGTGGTAAGAGAGGAAGAGATGCATGTTTTTCTTTGTATTGAAAATTAAAACAAAATACTGCCAAAAGCTTCTGTGCTAGGCAATTTTAGAGAAATTTGAGGTGAAAGCCTGATTGACTGCCCATAAGTATGTTGATAAGCAAGAATTAATTGATTGTATATAAATCTTTAACTATGTCCAATTCTGTTGAGAATTTACTGTAGCAATATGCAGATGGTGAAAGGTGATTATGATTCACTAACAGCCTCATTTAAAAATGCAGTAATATGTGGTAGTTTTGTCAAAATGACTGCTAGTCCTGTAATGTGTATATAAGTTATTAGCTATGTAATGTAGCCTATCTAAGTAATTAATTACTTGCAAAAAAAGTTGGGATACAGACACATAGTGTTCAGTGAAGTTCTGAGTATTTTTTCTGTTCTTGTGGTTTCACTGCCGATGTTGGAAGAATCTGTCTTTGCCTCTCCCCTCACCTTAGTATCTAACAAAAGCAACAACGGCAGTAGAGTTTAGTTATATCTGAAGGACAAAGATACCAGAGTTGCTGTATAATGTATACCAGATAATGTTACAAATACATGACATGATTTCTTTCCCCACTTAGAAGAATATCTGAATGGGTTTGAGTTTTTTGGGTTGTTGGTGGTAGACTGGACTATGTGATACTAAGAGGGCAGATTTAGGTTTAAATGCTAGACTTTTCTAGCAAAGCTGTTTTTTGGATCTCATGTGCATCTAGAATGGAGAGGTGTGGGGTTGTTTGTTTTGGGTTTTTTTAGATTCGAGAGGAGGACAAGGATCCTGTCTACGTGTACTTTGAAAGTTTGATGACTTGTGCAAGGGTGCGAGTATATGAATACAAAAGAGAGGAGAAAAAGCAGCAAAAACACAAAAGTGATTCACAGAGTTGTAGTGTAAAGGTAAGAAGTCACACTGTAACTAGCATGTATCATAAAACAGGCAAAAATATTGAAAATCTTGAAGTAATTATATCCCCAGAAACTCCTTCATGACACAAGGGCTGGACTTGCATTTGGTGGTGGTAGGACTGTGGAGTCTGGAGCCTAAATCATGTACTAGTGGTGGTAAACTTACCCTGTTAGTGTGACATACACTGTCTTATCTGAGGAGATTCCTGGCTGCCAAGTGCACTGTCATGTAAGGCTTAAATGTTCGTTGTTAAAAGAGCTGTTCTAAGACGAGAATTATAATGTTATCAAACACAGCATATGTTTTATGATTTGGGGTGAATTAGTTGATTTTGTGATGTGACTTTTAGTGTGAAAGTGAGATATCTAAGATGAATATTTTTCTTGCGTTTCCTTCCTCCAGCAGGAGCATGAACCAGAGCTTCAGTCTCCTGAGAAAGCAACCTGTGAGGTAGACAAAGACGCTAATAAACCAAGAGGTAAGAGCTGAGTCTTGAGTGTGATTCAACCTCTTTGTAAGTTACATGTTTTTGTGGGATTTTTAAGAAAAGTTGCAGCTATTGATAAAAAAGTCCATTTGCTGGGGGAGTTATTACACTTGTCAATAAAAATCTAATTATGTGCTTACAGTTTCCTGTTTTCTTAAGCAACTGTGTATGTGTGGATCACATGGAGATATGAGCTTTAAAATGAGACATATACTGGAGGCATTGTGTCATCCACTAATGAAATATAGCTACCTTTTTGAGCTGATTTTTTTTCACTGTTTAATGTATACAACAGCACACTCTACATTTAAGCATGGGAATGGAAAAATAATACAACTAGTTGAAATTGCTGGTGCATTGGTAGGTGAAATTCAAAATGGCCAGGACACAGGGCTCAACATCCTCACAGTTTTGCAACAAGGGACGTTTTATCTCTAATGACAACAAAAGGTCGTGCTTGTGTTTACACACCTTCTGCAAAAGACAGTTCTGCTAGCATCCTGTTTGCCCCTCGTGCTATTATAGGACAGTGGTTCTGACTCCAAGAGAAAAGTGCCATCTCTTGAATAACCAGTGATGCCCTCTACTGTATGTTGGTGGTGTTTGTATTGAAACAATCCAGCTTTGTTTAGCTTGTGATGCAATGGGATACAACCTGACGTGGTATGGCTGCAGGGAATGAACCATGAGAAATAGTTACATTAGTTTTGCTGTGAGTTTTTGCTTGCTTGTGGAGCTCTGCAAGGGGAGGTGATGCTTTGAACAGTTCTTTTACTTGTTGCCCTGCAGATGAGCTGAGGCAAGGGTGGAGGTGTGGGCAGAATGAAACTGTTTGACTATCCAGGTGATTAAAATATCATAGTATTGCAGAAACCTATTTCAATTCTTTCTCAGAGAAAAGCTGGTGTTCTTCCCGTAGTGAGGGGGACTCTTTCTCCACCTCCTATGTTCATCACACCACTCAAGGTGAACCAACCAAACTTATTGAGATTATCTCTGACTGCAACTTGGAGGAAGATCACAATAAGATCTTGACCATCTTATCACAGCATATCAACAGTAACGTGCCACAGTGCCTCAAAGTGGGTAGCTTCTTTATTGAATTGGCTTCGGAACACAAGGCCCAGGATGAGAACCACCCTCCTGTCTGCTCCTCCAGAGTGAAAATTTCAGTGCCGTCCTACCAGGACAAGGATGAGAAGCCTGAGATACCTGTCTTGGAGACTCCTGATAGCGCAGTGTCATCATGCAATAACTCAGAAAATGTAAAGGTCATGCGGGCAGACCCAATGGACAAACTACGGGAGAAGTTGCATTGGGGCAAAGGCTTGCCTTTTTATGCAGGGGTTTCTCCTGCAGGAAAACTGGTTGTCTACAAATGCAAAGCTAATATGAGCCCCTCAGGCTTGATTCAGGTGGGTCCCTCTGCCTTTACTGTGGACATTAGATGCAGTTTCATCCAGTATCCCAGAACTCTGTAAAGGGGAGAACACTCTTTTATTTATCTGCCTGGTCTTTTGCCTCTCCAGACAAGAATTCTTAGTATCTGGTGGCATTCTTCCCTCTCCATAAGCTTGTCCCTTAAGAAATCTGATTGGAATTCTGATGGTTTAGCTTGTCTTTTTGGCCGTTTGGGTCTTGCTGACCCAAGTACGGAATCTTTCTCAAGATTTTTTTGGTGCTTTGAAAACCCCCTGAAGATGCATTTGACAGATAATACTTTTAAATGAATGACTGTTAGAGTCCACAAGAAGAGCATTTTCTGAGGAAGTATACACTGGGACAAAACTTGAAAATGAAAATGTAAACATTAAATCGCTTTTTGCTACAACTTACTGTTAATCTTCACTAATAGCCTGCATCCTCTTTGTAGAATGTATGTTTGTCATCAAGAGAATTCATAATCCTAAATTCGAAGTGGATCTTTCCCTGCCGTTCTGTGTTGCTGACTTGGTGTTAAAAATTGGTGGTAGGAACTGTAGGGCTAGGTTGAAGATCTTTTTCTTCATAGGTATTTATGGTTGTAGTAAAATCACTTTCAGGGAAGGCATATGAATTAGAAAATGAGAGTAAAACATTTTCATGACGCTTTGCAGATACGGCACTCTCAGAAAGAAAAGCGAGCAGAGAGAGAAAATTGAGGAGGAGATTTCTTATCTTTTATAAAAGTTGATCAACAGAAAGAGTCTAGACCTTATTTAGTAGTGTGTTCAATATATTTGGCTTTTAGAAGGTATTATCGAAGAACCTGGAAGTAAAATGCAACACTACCAAAACTTCCTGTTGTCCAGTACACATAAAACCTGACATTCAGAAAGATGTTCTGCTTTTCTCCCGTGCAGTCAGCTACCACTACAACTTTGAAGTTGGTCAACTCATCATACTTAAATTACAGTATCAAATAACAGTACGGATAAGAAAAAAGCTGATAAAGCTTTTACAAGCTCTTCAGAGTTTTGTCTCAATGTATATATCATCAGTATTCTTCTTTTGTGATGGTAGGACTTAATTAGGTTTGAGAATTTTATCCAAAATTGTCCTTGAATTTGGGAACCCATTTTTAGTCAGGACTATATCATAAGTAAGGGACAGGAAAAACAGATGCTACCTTCGCTCTTATCTAATTTCAGTGATTTCACATGTTCCTTGGACTCTGTGGGTTTATGCGAGAGTCTGAGCAGCATTTAAAATCTGTAAATCTGTATTACAAAGATATAACAAGAGTTGTTTGAAGTTTTCCCGGACAATAAGGAAATGAGGAATTCCCATTCTGAATTGCAGTGGTTTTTTGAAAAGACATTTAGAAGTCCCATGGAGTGAAACGCCTCTCCAGAAGTGGTGAATTAGCGTTCTTTTCACAAAATTTCCCTTTTCCACTTTTTTCAGGTTAATGATAAAAGGTATCCTCAGGCCAAACTGCTTTTGGGACAGATGGGGGCATTGCATCCTGCCAATCGGCTAGCAGCTTATATCACAGGCAGGCTGCAGCCCACAGTACTTCATATCGCAGCCCTCAGTACTGTGATCTCCAAGGTAGCATCCAGTGCTAAAACACCTGCTTCTGGGACACCATCAGTCCAGGGCCCCACAACATCAACTCCTAAAACTACATCTTCCACCAGCACTACTTCAACCCCCACTGTGACGACTCTGAAAACCCATGTCCCAGCACAGAGACAGATAGGTAGGTTGGAACTTATTACTGTTTTAAATTGCGTGAAGCTGAAGTACCGAGTGTACAGCATTAATGTTGATTTCTATGCAACAGTGCATGCTGCCTGTGGCTGCATTGCCTACCTAAACTGCCTCTGCAATAAATAACCTCTTTAAAGCAGAAAGTTTGATTTTTGACTTCAGAGTAAGATTACAGATGTTGACTATTAGTTGTTTTATTATTGCTACTAGAGCATATTTTCAAGAGACAAAAAAGAGTGGATGGAGACATGCTAAATGTTAACTTGGATTTTTGTTTGGGGAGTTTTGTTACTATCATTTTTATTTGTGTTTCATCAAACACACACAATACTTTAAAATAAGTAAAGTATCGCTCTAATATGTGGTTCTTCGCTGTTAGATTTTCTGCTGATGTTGCATTCATAATTCTCGTGAGCACCAAAGATATGTGAAGCAGCAGTGAAAGACAAGATGGTCCAAATCTGGATTAGCGAAACAAGTGTGCAGCCAATAACCACGCCAGCCTCTAATCTCATTGGATTTCACAAGCTAAACAGGGTTGGATTTAGTCAGCACCTTGAGTTTGGGAGGAAAAAAAAAAAGAGCATTGGAAGATGCATGATGTGCTTGTATCTGAGCTGATACTGAAATGGTTACCCCAGGATTGCAAGAGAGGAAGTTGCCCAACTTTCTCAAAAAAATTTAGTGCCTGTCTACATATTCCCACACTTTAAATGAAGATCTGAAGAAGGTTTGCAAGAGAAAAGGATGTTACCTGTGTCCTGGCAAAACTGCAATTTCTAATTGATTATTTTGTTTCTTTCTGCCTAAATTTTCATTGCATCAATGGTTGTGTTGTTTTTCTTGTCCTATAATAAAACTTGTTGTTTTCTGTATTTATGCAATATGAAAGAGCTGACTACATTTCATTGATGGGTGAAGTCATTGCTGCATATATGATTTAAGTGTTTTGGCATAGTCAGGGTTAAAAATGCTATATGCATAAATAACTACAATATTTAAGTTGGGCTTGCTGCATAATCTATGTGCTGTTGTAGTCATCTGTAGACATCTAGTGATGTAGATGCAGTGGTCTGCTCCCTTGGAGAGCAAGGGATGAGATAAAGGATCTTCCCACCATTGATTACTTTCCACTAGTTAGATGTATTCCATCAAGTCCTCAGTTGCATGAATGTCACTGCAATTAGAAGGGAACATGGCAAACTCTATCACCCTCCTGTGCCCTTCCCCCATGCCTGTGTAAGATGAATACAGTAAAAGGGGGATGAAAATCAAGAAGCAGTAAAGAGGAAGATCACACAAGCTGTTACAGGAAGAATTTGAGGTTTAGAAAACATTTCAAGGTCATTATTTCACTTAGGTGTTTGTTTTCCTTTACTGTAGTTAGAATTGTCCATAGTTTCACAATGAAGAACAACCCTTCAAGACCTGATTCTTTTGCATGTCCAGGAAGAAATGCAGTAAAAAGCTGCAGAAGTGGAATAAGGCAGACGTATTTCCAACATGTAAGGCATATTCAGGACTGCCATAATGGTTTCAGTTTAATTACAAGGTACAAAGAAAATGGAGGCTCAAATTCATGCCAAAATTACAATTGTAGCACCTCGTGAAAGTCAAAGAGGAACTCTATTAAAATTTTGACCTGCAAGTTTTTATTTGCAGCTCCCCGACCCTCCCCTGGTGGTGTGTTTGCCCAGTTTGTGATAAACAAAGCTGGAACTCTACAGCAGAAGATTCCTGGAGCGAGCACACGCCAGCCTGCGTCAAGGCCACAGTTGCTCAGTATCAAGCCTACACCGATCACGGTTGTTGCTCCTGTTGTTCCTTCAACACCATCTCCAGCTCAATGCATAGTCTCTCCTGGGGTCACTACAGCCACCACCACTTCTCCAGTTACTGTGGAAAGTACCAGTGTAGCAGCATCTACTGTGACCACTCCTAGCCAGACAAAAGCTAGTGAACCTGCCTGCTCTCCTGCAATTACAGTCACAGCTGCTCCTGCAACACCTGGAATCAACACCTGTACTACTCCCTCATCCACCACTTCTACTGCTACTGTAAACATAACAAAAACAACAGGGATTGTTGCAGCAGTAGCAACTACGTCATTCCCTAAGACTGTAGTGACACCACCAACTATTACTTGTCCTGTTGTCACAACATCCACTTCTACAGTTGTACTAACAACAGCTGCAGCAGCTACACTAACTTCCTCTGCTGTCTCTGTTCCAATGATACTGTCAGGAGTTAATTCAAGTCCTCCACAGAATCCAAAAAGAGGTAATGCCTAGGTGCTTTGGGTTATTACTGCAAACACTTCGTTTTTTAGTTCTGCCTGTTTCATAGCTATAATACAGTCTGCAACTGGACTAAACTTAAATATGGATTCACTTGTCTCGCCCCTCTTTCCAAAATAGGATAAGAAATATAATCTCTTATATTGTTTTTTTTGTATTCCAGCCTGAGCTGGTAGAGAAGGGAAAAAAATGTAAGTATCTGATCAGTGACTGGTATGAAGTGAGCTGAAAGCCTCACATTCATTGCTTGGCCCATAGAAATGTATAGGACAGTTATGACTGCTAGAAATTCATGGTTGGCATTGAGTCCAAGACGTAGGTATGGAATTACTCTCCTATGTCATGACTGAGAAATGTTAGTGGAACTACATGGGAAAAAAAAAACCTGGTCTGACCTGGTTGGTTCTATGCATTCTGTGAATAAAAAGGAAAAAAAAAAATGCTTTCAAACAAATTTAAAAGAGATCCAGTTGTTTCTAAAATATTAGTGCATGTATTTATTAAGAGTAATGCTGATTTGTGGGCTGCTCTCTTGAACTGATTTTTGTACAACTTTTTAACTGTTTCAGAAGATGCTACTCCACAAGCTGCAAGTAAGACTCCCCCAAAGATAGCTCCTGGAACAGACAAACGTGTCGGACCTCGATTGTTGCTGATCCCAGTGCATCAGACACCTTCTGCTTTGCGACCGCTAAACAACACACAGCTTGCACAGAGGCAGAGAATGGTCCTTCAGCCTCTCAGGAGCCCTGGTGCTGTAAACCTGTTCAGACACCCTAATGGGCAGATCATTCAGCTTGTTCCCCTGCAGCAGGTTCGAACTGCAGGTGCCCAGCCCAGCGTGCAGCCAGTGATGCTCCGCAATCCAGGTACAAAGTCCAGTGTTTCTTTCTTGACTGACTGGTGTGTTACTCAAAAATGTAGTAAATGACTCTGTGATGCTCCTTTCCCCTGCTGGAAGTAATTCAATAGAGTTTAATTTGGTTCTGCCTGAGTAGTTGAAGAACGTAGTGTAATTATTCAGATGCAATACAACTTAAATACCATGTGTCTAAAATATAGGAAGTGCAGTTAATAGCTAAGTCACCAACATTTAGGAGTTGTGTGCAGCAAGTAAAAGGGTCTGTGTGTGTGTGTGGCAATGGAGTCATGTCCATTGTACTGTCACAACTTAAAAGAAACTCTGTTGATCTGATGATTCAAAAATAATTCTTGTTGGAGATTCTCTTAAAAAGAATGAGCTGTTACCCATGTTTCACTGAATGTGCTGCTTTGCTTTTGTTAGGTTTCCAGGTTTGTTAGTGTGTTTACAGAAGATACTCAGATTAAATGTTAAACTACAGTACAAAATTGCCAGGGTTTTTTCCTCCTTAAGAGTGTGAGAAAAAAAGTAAGTGTGATTTTCAGCTGTTTCTCTGGTACACAGTTGAAGGCAGGGTTGGAGGAGTTAGAAATTGCAGGTATCTGAAAGAAAATAGGTAGAATGCCCATTGGGCATGCTGTTGTACGTATTTGTAAGTTATAAACAAAATGTACTTTAAATGCATGTTTACTTTACTGTAGGACTTTTTCTTCTGTTCTACCTTTATTAAAAAGCATCTTGAGGAGAGGGAGATAAAGTGGTGTGGAAGGGAGAAGTGAGAGCAAGCACAGCAGATAAAACTGTGGGGAGAAGAGAAAATAATGCCGTGCCTTAGTTGAGGTTTGAGCATGAGATGTAGCAAAGAATCAGTCAACAAGTTGATTTAATTCCTTTCTGTTTTGGGGCTTTTGCTGAAACTACTTGCCCATGGTAGTACGTTTTATGGAGTATTGAAATGCTGCAGAAGAGTTCATTGAGGTGAAAAAGATTGTGGTTTAATTGTGTAATTTTGACACAATTTTTTCCGTGTGGAAGTCTTTTTCTTGAGGGTGGGGGCGAAGATTTTAATTTAAATACTTTTTTTTTTAACAAAATCCCAATTTCCCTGTTTTGCAATAAATGGGAAAGTAAAATGCAGAGGACTTTCAATGCAGTGCCTTTTCTGATTAAAAAGCTTAATGATAAAACTTACCAGCAAGACTGTTAGTTTTAGAGTGGCCACCTCATGTGTTTTATTGGGGTGCTCCTTAAAAAAATTGAAGTTTATATGTCTCTGCAGGACCAGCTCTTTCACTGAGAACTTGTCCTGATTACACCGTGATCCTTGAGAGTGCTGTCTGCTTCTAGTACAGCATCAAATACTAAAACTGAAAGAAAAAAGTTCATTTGAGAAAGTATGAGTTGATGTTTTGTTTCCCTTACAGGATCTGTGGTAGGAATCCGGTTGCCTGCACCTTCTAAGCCTCCTGAGTCACCTGTGTCTCCCGCTTCCTCTGTGTCTTCCACTTCTCATGCCACAAATTCAGCTGTACAAACTGCAGTACCCAAGTTATCCCCTCCATCTAACCCAGCCACTCAGACATCTTCTCTTCTTCCTTCGGTAACAAGTTTTGTGTCGCAGTCAGGCACTCTGACTCTGAGGATCTCTTCCTCTGCTGTTAGCAACATCACAAATCAAACAGCCTCTGAGTCTAATGTAACCTGCAGCGCGGGTGGTCTGCCGGCTACCACCACTAATTTCATACCTTTACAGTCTGGTAGTTTTGCTTTACTTCAACTCCCAGGACAGAAGACTGTGCCAAACTCCGTTCTTCACCATTTTGCGTCTCTTCAGATGAAGAAGGAATACAGGAAAATATGCAAGAAGGAGGACTCAGGTGCTGCTCAGCAGAAGGAGAATGGGAAGGCTCCATGCTCAGATGACATTGAAGTTACAGAGTCTGAGGTCACAGTTTCAGATGGGAAACAAGAAGAAAATGAGTTGTCGATTAACCAGTTAAATACTGCTGAAGAGTCAGCATCTGGCACAATCACACCTAGTGGTGATAGAAATTCCACTGCATTAGAGATGGCAGAGAACTCAAAGGTGCTAGAGAGTTCTTGTGGTGATAGCTTTTCTTCTCAGCATGATGTTTCTGCAGATGTTGTATCATCTGACCATTCGTACATCAGTGAGAAGCCAAATGATGAAGAAGAAAAAGGGCCTTCTGAGGAGAAAGAGGATTCTATCAGTTCTGAAACTGCAGTGGAGGCTGTTTCAGCTAATTCTGAAACTGTTTGTGGGTCATCAGATCAGATTTCAGTTGCTCCTCTGGATAATGCACATCCACAGAGTCTTGGAAATTGGGAGACCACCCTGTTAAAGAACCATGGGAATGAACAAGTAAATGCTGAACAGGAAGAGAAACCAGTAAAAGAGCAGGAAGAAGATGCACAGACACAGGTGAAGGAGGACAAGAAAGCAAGTTCTGGGCAGTCACAGAGTCAATCAGAGCAAGATACACAGCTGGAGAACGACGACAAACAAAGAGGGACTGAACTGCCCCAGAACAAACAAGAATGTCGGGATGAAGCTGCACAGCCAGGTATGGAAAGGAAGGAGTACGAGGGCTCTGCAAAAGCAGAAAGCATAGGAGAGAAAATAGGAAGTAAATCTGAAATCAGTTCTGCAAAAGAGCAAGATAACGCTTCAGGAGGAGAACATACAGTCAATACTGAGGAAGGCAAAGAAAACCTAGCTAGGCAGGAATGCAGTAACAACAAAGAACAAAATGCTTTTGATTCTCCAGAAGAAATAAAACCAGGTCATGATATTGTAACACATGTCAACAGTTCTTGGAGCAAAATATCTAGCATTGTACCCCCTTTAGAAAATAGAAACGAGGTGGGTAACAGAGCTGATACATCAGAGGAAAGTGACTTCATGACACCACCAGAACAGACGGCACACAGAAAGTGTTACATGCCCACTATTGATATAACTGCTGATGATATGGAAGAGGATGAAGAGGAAGATGAGGAGGAAGAAGAAGAGGATGAAAAAACTGATGATTCTGCTGATGAGATGCTGGATGGTGCTTCTGACTTCCCAAGTGAAGAGGAAATAGATGTTGAAAAAGTGGTAAGCATTTAACTATTTATGAAGGGATTTTTTTTAAATTGACCAACTAACATGTCATAACCCATGGATTTGAAAGGGTATGATGTTTGTGTTTTGGACTTCAGTTTCTTTAGAAAGTCTAAATCGGGGTTCCAAGTGGGAATGTCTTTTATTTCTTCTTAGTTGCATGCTTTTTCATAGGTGGCAGTGTAGTGGCCTTTTAGAAATTGTCCATTTTTCAGATAACAGGAGTTATATTGAATAATCTGTAATAGAACTGTTGCAGGTTGTCTTCCTCCAGTATTTACTCAAGTAACTTGGTTCCTTGTAATATGACTTATGATCCAAAAATGTAGCAGGTAGTCTAGTATTTCTGTTATTTTAACCTGCTTCCTTCTACTTAGTTTTTGTAGCCTTAGTTAACATTTATTTCTGGAAGGAATGTTTGAATCCCTCCTTAAATTCTTTTTGAAATTTAGTAATACATTTAAATAGTTTATGAAAGCTGTCATTCCCTATGTGATAGAAAACAAATTACTCCAAAAGTCAGAGAATAAGGGTAAAGCTTTGTGGTTAGTGTAGTTAGGATACATTTACGTTTTAATGCTCATAGAATTTCCATCAGATTTAACCAAAAAAATTAAAATAAAGCAATCCAATGGTAACTCCTTAATACGTTTTTTTATATATCACTGTGTGATTTAAAACAGTGCATTGTTACTTAAAATTTATAAAGTTGTGGTTTTGTAAGTCAGTCAAATGGACATAAGAAATGAGATAGCCTTTTTTGGGGATGAGATACAAATGGAGAGAGAAAGGTTAAACTGTAAGAGAATTGAAGAACAGAAAAAGAGGACAGATTATGTTAGTTTCTTTAGGAATTTGAAAGTATAGAATTCTTTTAGCCCTTTTGTGTTAATGTAGTCCTCTTGCAGTTGAAAATCTAATTAGAGTTCTTTGTCTTCTAACCACACAGCTGGTACAAACAGGTCCAGAAGATTTCCTAAAACACCTGGGCAATAACTTGGTACGGGTACTACGAGAGCCAGCTGGGAAAGGTGCCCTCCTCCCTTGATCTGTTACTCTTGAGTGAAATGGCAATTGGTGGCCATCTTGGCCACAGGAACCATGAAACAATCAAGTTTAAAATCTTTCATGACAGGAGGAAAAGTGCCAGCAAAACTTCAACCCTGGATATGAGGAGAGCAGACTTCAGGCTGCTCAGGCAACAAGTTAGTAAGGTCCCCAAGGAAAATGCTGTTGAAGGTGCTGGGATTCATCAGTGCTGGTCACTTTTTAAGTACCACCTCCTAAGAGCACAGGATCAGGCAATTCCAAAATCTGAAGTCAGGGAGGCAATGCAGAAGTTCAGCTTGGTTAAGCAGGGATCTTCTGGAGCTAAGGTGAAAAAAGAAAGTGTGTGGCTAGGGGAGGCAAGGTCAGGTGACATGGGAAGACTACAATGGTGTTGCTCACCACTGCAGGGAGAAAATCTTTGCAGCCAAAGATCAATTGGAGTGGAAGCTGGGCAGCACCATGGGGCACAATAAAATGAGTTTTTAAAATATGTTAATGGCAGAAGGCAGATCATAAATAACATTGGCCTGTTACAGGATGAGGATGGTCACCTCACAAACAGGGATATAGACAAGGTAGAGGTGTTTGATGTTTTCTTTGCCTCTGTCTACAACACTGATGATGAGCCCTAGAACCCTGAGCTGGGGGACCATGGCTGCAAGAATGTTATACTCCCTGCCAACCTTGAACTTGTGCAGGATTTGCTTCTCTAGCTGGATCCCTATAAGTCTATGGGGTCTGATGGGATTCATTTGAGGGTACTCAGAGAGCTGGCTGATGTCATCACAAGACCTCTTTCAATGATTTTTTGAATGGTCTTGGGAATATAGAGAGGTCCCGGTCAACTGGAAGCTGGTAAACGTTGTCTCAGTTTTTAAGAAGGGCAGGAGGGGTGACCCTGGTTACTACAGACCTGTCAGTCTCACTTCAGTGACTGGTAAAGTTATGGAGAAGATTATTTTGGGAATTATTGAAAAACACATAAAAGGCAACACTGTCATTGGTCACAGCCAGCATGGCTTCATGAGAGGAAAGTCCTGCTTATCAAACCTGATTTCCTTCTACGACAAGGTAACCCACCTAGTTGCTCCAGGAAAGCCAGTTGATATAATCTATGTGGATTTCAGTAAAGCTTTCAATACTGTTCTCACAAGATCCTTCTGGACAAAATGTCTATCCCCCAGCTAAATAAACACATCATGTGGTGGGTGAGCAATTGGCTCACAGGTCGAGTACAGAGGGTAATAGTGAATGGGGTAACCCCACCCTATCACTAGTGGGGTTCCACAGGGCTCCATCTTGGGCTCTGTGCTCTTCAACATCTTCATAAATGACTTGGATGCAGGACTTGAAGGCATAGTAAGTTTGCCAATGACGTTACATTGGGAGTAGCTGTTGACTCCCTCAAAGGTAGAGGGGCCCTGCAGAGAGACCTCGACAAATGAGAGGGCTGGGCAATCACCAACCATGTGAAGTTCAACAAAGGGAAAGTGCCAGATTCTGCACCCGGATTGGGGCAACCCTGGATGTATAAACAGACTGGGGAATGAGATGCTGGAAAGCAGTGCCCCAGAAAGGGACCTGAGGGTCCTGGTCAATGGCAAGTTGAATATGAGTCAGCAGTGCCCTGGCAGCCAGGAGGGCCATCTGTGTCCAGGGGGGCATCAGGCAAAGCATCACCAGCCAGTCGAGGGAGTCACAAAATCCAGGAGTTGGATTTTGATGATCCTTGTGGGTCTGTTCTAACTCAGGATATTCTGTTATTCTATGATAGCCATATCCGAGTAACTCAATTTAAGTCAGCAACGGGCTTTTAGAGAATGTGTTTAACTTCCAGAAAAAATGACTAATGAGTTCATATTCCATCTTGCTATTCTCAGACAAGATGATAGCATCTCAGCTGCATGAAGGTGAGCAAACTGAAAGCAGATGTTATTTTTGGAAGTTCTTTCAAGCTGAAAACTGAATTGTTGCTGTCTTGTCTTCACTTGGGTGGTGACAGTTTGATAAGTCCTGTATCCTTCAATAACTTGAGCAGAGTTATCATCAAGCTTTGAGAACCATGGTTAATTCTTGCCTGATGTCAGATAAGCTTTACAGATGTGATAGTCTTCAGAGTTTGTTTGTAAACCGACAATAATATTTAGGTCACAAAGTAGTCTGTTATCAAGGTTGATGTTTTAAAACTGTATTTTCTCTTGTCCTGCAAAAGGATGATGAAACAAAAAAGTAATTATTTGAGATTGTAAGAAATGTTTGTTTTGGAAGAAAATTACTGTGCAGGTTTTGACTAATAAGGTTTGGGAAACCATCTAAGGGTATGTCTTCACCACAAGCTCACACAAACACAAGTAAGCTAGCCTTGATTGTAGAGCAATAAAGCTGAGTAATGAGATCTCAGAGGACTGTAAAAACTGTCTGGAATTTCGGTTTGTTAGTCTGTACTACCTGCAAGTTTAATTAGCATGTCAATGCCTAATGGAGAATTCAGTTTTGAATCTAAATGTGTGTTATTTTTCAGTGGTATGTACTCTTAGTGTAGTGCTTACAAGACAGGCGGAGCTACTATTGTTTGTCAGACTGGGTGAAGTCAGATCATGTAAACAGGCTAGTATAGGATGTTTATCCATTTCAATAAGCTAGTGGAAACATGAAAGCAAAGAGTACATGCATGTCCACTAATAGTTTTGTTTAGTGGAAAGACTTATGACAGCTCTTTTTCTACCAGTTTGGAATGTGGACTGGTTTTAGTTGCTCGGGAAATGGCCATTTAAAACCTCAGAAAACTGTGAGAAATTGTCAGAGTCAGTATGATTGCTACTTTCCTGCAGTAGCTATTACTTTCTCTTTTAGTACATTTTTCCACACTGGTTCTCATTGTAAAGACTTAATTGTTCTTAATTTTGCATATCAATGCCCTTCATATTACCTTCTTACCTTGTGCTGACTTTGAGTTTTTGACTTAAGAGACTCTTGCAGTCTCCTCCTCTATTTAACAGCAAGAGAGACACTTCCTGAGATGGTATATTTGCCCTTTTGCATCTCCTACCCTGAACTGCATCAAGAGAGGCTTAGGAGGGTTAATCAGTGTGGGTTTGATAATATGAATAAAACCTTCTGAGAGATCAGTATCAGGACCTGTTGTTGGGAGATCACCTGGGAGATGATGTTAAACTCTTGATCTCCATGGCATGATGATTACACACAAAGTTCCTGTTGAGAAGGACTGCTTGGCCTGGGCTAAGTTACAGGCTGTGTCTCCTAATTGTTCACACGCATTCTTGTTGGCCTAAGCCAGAACCACACCAGGGGTTGTTCTGGTATTTTAATGCTACAAATAAGAGTCCCACAGTTTAGTGTACTAGTCTAAACACAGCTTTTATGTCTGGCAAGTTACTGTATTTTAAGTGTTATTTAATAGTGGTTTTCAGTCATTCTTGTTCTGAAGTGAATATTGAAATAATAAGGAACTATTATGAATTATTATAAAATAGTGGTTTAATAAAAAGTGAAAGTGATATATTGTGGGGACAATTTAAGTTCTAACAATCTCTTGCATGTTCTCAGCTTTTGGTCATGAAATTACGCATTTGCTTGGGTAACGTCTAATGACATCTGTTGTCATCTAACCTCCTTTCTCAGCGCTGTCACTGAGGATCCTCTACCAACAGGCAATTTGCTCATTAGAAACCAGCAATAGGGCTTTAGGCTACCAGGAACAGACAGAGAAGAATCAGAGGAGAGAGCTTAGAAACACGCAATGGAAAGCAGGGAGGGAAAAGAGCTGTCATTTCCATACTAACTTTAGAACTTCTTTTGTAGGGTGGGATTGCTCATCTGGTGTCTTCATTCCTTGGGGTGTTTTGCCCTTAGAAGCTCAAAGGCATTTAGAAGTTATGTAACTGCAGGAAGTAGTTTGGAAAGACTGATGCTAGAAAGGTAGG